CTTCTCCAGCCTTCCTTGGGTCTGGGATCATTTCAGCTGTCAATTAAAATGCGTCCGTTATCGGACAACTTAGCGGATATACGTCCATTATCGGACGCCCCTACTGTCTGGAGGGCCCCTTTGCCAGTTGTTTTTTTTTTTTTTTTTTTTTTTTTTTACCCACAATTTGGACAAGACTCCACAAACAACCAGCTGACAGCATGTAAAGGAGTTTAACCATGCACGTCCATTTTTTGTTGATACACACGTTCATATTTTCTGGAGTAAATGTCAGTTCGTTCTAATGAGTGAGCCAAATATTTTGCAACAAAACAGTTATTTAAGCAGAAGTGACAAATTCGAGAATAACATTAAACATTAAATCATTAAACTGGAGGTTGATTGTTGCCGCATAGTCACATCATTGTCCGCACCAATCAGTGTGTTCCCCCTCATTATTTATCTTTACAGAAACAATTAGTTAACACCAAAGTCCAAGGAAGCGTTTTCCATGATGAACAATGACCAATAACAGACACAAACTAATGACACAACAACGTCTAACAAAATGAACAACATCAGTAACAGGCGTAATCATCTTCATAATTATAACACTTGCACATTTACTCAAGTAATATTCAGATATTGTTTCCATTCGATGCTGCTTCTGCTCTGCAACATTTCTAGAGACGCTTTCCTCTTTTTTCTCTCTTCGTTTTAATTTGGTTTGCAGGCCCCTGGTCCCCCAAACGCAAGCTAAACCGACCGGTAGGTCGCTAATATATCGGGGAGGCAACTGTGACAAATTCCTTTTGTCTCCGCTTTGCTGGTACTTTATTACCCAGACGAGCAGCATGGCCTGGAGATAACGATTCATCACGCACAGCCGGCAACCATAGACAACGCCTTTGGGCAAAGTCAGCGAGGGGGTTTCATATTGAGAGAGAGAGAGAGAGGGAGAGGGAGAGAGGGTGTGCGCGCGTGTGTTTGTGTGTGTGTGTGTGTGTGTGTGTGTGTGTGTGTGTGTGTGTGTGTTTGTTTGTGAGAGGAGGGTGTACCTTAATTGGCAATGGGGCCTCATTGCATTAGTAAAATTGCTGATTACAATCCTGCACAACATAATGTCACGTTTGCATTTAAAAGCTATATACTGTAGGTAGACCTCTTATTTCATAACTAGTTTTCATGTGGCAGCCCATAATAAGTCAGGGATCTCTATTTAAATAATAATAATCATTTAATGTCCCTCATGTTTTGCAGCTATAGCTTATTAGATGGAATTTTAATGATCCTGATGGGAAACATGGGTCACTATGCAGCAGAGAGAGAGAGAGAGATGGAGCAAAATGAAGATACTTCCACAAAGCGTTTAGAGAAAACAGGGAGCATGAGCAGTTCATGCTAAATAACCTCATTAAATCCACAAACAGTGGTTCCCTTTGCAGAATGATGTCTCACTATGTGGACAGGTTGGTGCCAAAGGTGTTTAAATACATTTAGGCTGAGTATTATGTCGCTGCATGCTCTTATTGAGCTCTGATCAAAACAAAACCTTTAAATGTAAAAAGGGCTTTAATGGCTTTCATTTTAAAAACCTGAGTAATAACAATGGTTACTTTGTAGTTTCAATAAAAACACAATCATTTAGTAATTATTTTGTTTTGCTCTGATGTGTATGAATCCATAATACAAACAGATCATCTGATGAGACATTTCATGGAGTTAAATGTGACATATCAGTCTGAAGAGTCCCTAACTGCACATTAGAAATCACATAACTTTAAAAAATCATTTAAATTCCCTTATGTTTCATTATAACAGCAGCTCGTAGGAACTAATCACGGTGAATGGCCTAAATTGTTGAGAATAATGAAACCAGACACTTGGCGTGTTGGTGAGTGTGAGCTCTGGTTGTCAGGCTCAATAGAGAACTGTGATATTGGTCCTGATGATTAGAGGTTTACAGTTTTACCAAAGTGCTCAACATGTTGGCAAACAGCCTCTCATGAACAGGACGTAATGAAACGAGGTAATGGGAAGGTTTTAGGATTAGAATTCAGTGAAATGTCTTGCTTCACGACACTCGAGTTATAATGATTTGGAGTATCTGTTAAAAAATAAATCATTAAGTTGGTCTTCACAACCTATAAGTGTATCAAATAAATAGATAAATAAAAAGTAGTTTGTCCTTAAGTTGATACATGTGGGGTTTCACATTTAAATAGTTGGCACAGGGCAGATATATAACTTGTACTGCTGTCACAGTTACAAATGAGAATCCAATACCAACACAACAGGTCTGCAGGTGTCAGCAAAGAGGGCACCTTCTGAAGAATGTGACGTTAATTACCCGTTCACTGTTCTTATATGTTGGCACAGTTAAAAAACGTATGGAAGAGTTATGAGTGCTGTCTGGCTGAAATTAATAACAAAAAACAATACATATTTGTATTTGATCTTGAAGTGGATTAAAGTGGATTGATTGTTTTTGATTTCTTTGACCTTATTGTTTATTCTGTCTCAGTCTCGATGTGATCAAATGTGTTTAAGGAGTATGTTATCGTCTGATTGTATCTGTTGTACCATTGTTTTTACCGTGTCCTCATATCGGTAGATGAATTTACCGATGTTGGATAATGCATCTGAATCTAAAATGGCCTAACATGTGACCACTTGTGGGTCTTATGGTATGGAAACGGTTTGGGGGATCCCCCCCACAGCCTCAGCCTAAAGTAAAATATAATATAATAAATGTCCATATTAGGAAATTGGCTTAAACTTCATGTCATAACAGTTCGATGCACGATGAAACAAGAAAAGAGTCAAATTAAGACAATGCATGACTTTTAACAACTCAACCTGAACAAAATGTATTCATATATACAGTGTAACAGAATACTGTGCCAACTCTCCCTGTGGACTAACCTACTGACAACAGACAGACAGACGTTTGGGAACCCCTGTGTTGGTGTAAACAACTCGGGTTGTGTCGCACACAGTCAGACGTCACCATCGCCAACAACAAGGAGAGATGTGTTACTTCAGAGGTGCTTCCAAACATTATGTTTCCGGCTTCAGGCCCATAGATCTCTCTGGTTTTGCATAAATGGCCAATTGCCTTGTCAGTAAGCTGATCTGCGGCCCAGCGCGTCCTCTCGTCCCTATTCATTTGATTGTAACGCGCAAATATAAACAGGCCTAATAGCAGCCACACTCGCGCCGCTCTCGTCCCCCGCACGTTATTGATATGGCCCCTGAATTCACACAATTGATTTTTATGCTTCCCCCTAGCCACCTTGTGCAGTTGAGAGATATCTTTATTCGCACGGAAAGTGAAATAAGTGCGTAATAAAACGGTGATATATTAAATCCGTTTTTTTTCCCCGTGTCGCGCTTTTATTGTGAGCCATTTTTCAATTTTATTCAATTGAGACCCCGGCGATCCGCGTCGTTGCTCCGGGCCGAGAAAGGTTAAATAATTTGTGCAAATCAGCAACGCGTTTGGCTCCACGATGGGACTCCATCTGCTATTTATTTGTTTAATTATCTATCTATCTATCTATCTATCTATCTATCTATCTATCTATCTGTCTGTCTGTCTGTCTGTCTGTCTGTCTGTCTATCTATCTATCTATCTATCTATCTATCTATCTATCTATCTATCTATCTATCTATCTATCTATCTATCTATCTATCTATCTATTCTTGCCTCTTCATTTGGAGATGTAAAACCTTTATATCACTCCTGGGTCTACATGTTGTTTCCTACAGGCTAAATATCGCTTACGGTTGCTTTACATTTCATTACTTTGTTTGGAATGGGCCTATCAGTGGATTTAAATCAGGCCTGTAGTCTGCACACTTCCCGTCAATATCACTCGATTTATGGCTTCATTGTGTGCAACAGATTATTGCTTCAACGGCTCACTCTCTCTCTCTCTCTCTCTCTCTCTCTCTCTCTCTCTCTCTCTCTCACGCATAAATCTGGTGCACTAGTTGTATCTTGTAGGACACAGTGTACTGATGTAACCTGCCATTAACAATAAGGGGATCCCATTCAGGCCCATTCTCAGCATCATCTGCTGCTTGCCATTTCGTTTTATATTCGCTCAGTGTTCATTGATCCGAATATTGGTGGATCCTAAAGTGGTGTACCGGGAAACTCTAGGGGTCCTTAGACACACACACAGACACACACCCACACAGACACACACCCACACAGACACACACACACTCAGACACACACCCACACAGACACACACACACACACACACACACATACACCCATATTTCATTGCTGCCTTGAAAACAAAAGTGCGCACCTGCTGTCACGTTTTTTGCCAAATCTTGTCAAAACAAGGTGGTAAAGATGAGGCTTCCCAAACAGTATTATCATCAAAGATTCTCTAGAGGCTTAAATGTAAAGGCGATGACCCATTACATCACTTTGGGATTACGTTTAAGATTTTTTTAAACAAATATCTACAAAAGTAGTAAAGATGGACACACAAATATCTAAATTAACTGAGCACAGTGACAGACTCATAAATGCACACCATAAAGATTCAACAATTAATACACAAACAAATGTGTGTGTATATGTCTATATATATAATATTGATCCAGTTAAAATGTATCTTTTCTGACAACAGGAGAGAAATATTTCTTGTTGAAGAAAAATTAAAATATGCAATTGAACATTACACCAAACTCCTATATATTGACCCCTTTTCAGTATTTCTGCCATGTACCGCAAATGTCTGTGACCTGGACCTTCAGCGCCACTAAAAGGCACACAACCTCCCGGTGTAATGCCAGAAAAGCTGCTAAAAAAATAAATAAAAGCTGCGGCTTCTTTAAGAAATCCGAGCAAAAACAAACTGCCATACCGAGGAGGAGGAGGGAGGAAGGGTGGGAGGGAGGGAGAGAGAGAGTGAGGGAGGCGAGGTTTGGCTGGATGACCGAATGGCAGCTTTTACGCAGAGTGTTGTCTCACCTGCTGAAACGCACTTCTTCACCATTCAGCACAACAGAGCCCTCCGTTCGCTCTCACCTCCAATTAATATCCACGCCGGCGAGGTCAGCGCTGCGCCCCGTCGCCTCTTTGGGTTCGTTTTGTTTCGTCTGTGGCTTTATTTTGATGTGACGCGCTTGGGTATCCTGCCCTGCCCTCAGCGTATGGACCGTCCCTGCCAGAGTCGGCGAACAAAGCGCATCAAGCCTCTCCACAGAACTGAATCGCGGATTTTGTTGTTGTTGCCTGTAAGTACTCGGGATAACCATTTGGCATCTTTGGTTGTGTTTTTTTTTCTTGTTGCTAGGCTGCCTTGTATGTGTATAGTTCTCTGGGAAAGAACGCGCTGTTAAAGATGGATACGCTTTTTCTTAGTCCGATGGATAGGCATTTCATTTAGGGAACACCTGATCCCGATGCTGGACTAAAATAATGGCAAGATTTTGGAAAGCGCTGGACACGTTGTTGGTTTCCAGGGAGTAGATCCGGCCTGTGTCAATGCTTGAAATCCAAAAAACACAGTCCGATACTGCAGCGTACATACAAACATTTCATTGAATTGCCATATGACAGAAATACATCCGAGCTGATAAATCTGACAAACACACCACCGGCAAAATAAAAACTATGGAGCACACCGGGATCGAGGAGGTGAACCAGACGCACCAGCAGCAGCATGAGCCCATTAGCTTCGGGATCGACCAGATCCTCAACAGCTCGGACCAGTCCAGTGGCTGCATGCTGCCCAACCGGACCGGCGACCCGGATTACGCGCTGGCCCCCAACGTCTACAGCAACGGGTACAACAGCGTCTACAACCCGGCCTGCTCCATGGCGGCGGGTCTGGCCGGCTCCTACAACGTCAACATGAACATGAACGTCAGTATGAACATGAACATGAACGTCAACGTGAACTCGGGCGGCGCCGGAGGGGTGATCCGGGTGCCGGCGCACAGACCCATGCCGCCTCCGCCGCCGCCCGCCGCCGCTGCGCCGCATCCGCCCCCTTCCGCGCATCCGGCGTGCATCGGACCCGGCATCGCCTCGATGCCCGGCATGGGGATGGGGAACGCGGCAAACTTCACCTTCCCGTGGATGGAGAGCAGTAGGAGGTTTGCCAAGGACAGACTAACAGGTAAAGAGTGTGCTCGTGACCCTGCAACGCCCTGCAGTCTGATATGTGTTTCCCTTTAAAACAGATATAATTTACCTTCACCCGTATTCCACACCTTTATAAATGAGCCCAACAGAAGAGTAGCATTATAGTATAGTATCCTCGTGGCCTTACATGTGTAAAATGGGATTTTTTTTATATTAATGTGTGCAGGATGAACTGGGCCTATAAGCTGGTTTCATCTTTAGGTTGTAATCTATAACGAATCGTATATGCGCACACGCAGAGTCACTTTTATTATTCTAGAAGGGCAGTCTGATAAACGAGTGGAGAAATTGACATGGACGTGCTGATGAATCAGTATTGGACCATCACTCTCCATTTACAGCGGATGACGGATAACGACGTTCCCTATCTTTTCATGAGGATGAATGATTTTTTTTTTTTCGTCTGCGAGCCAATTGAGAAAACAGGAAGATGAGTCATAATAGTAATTACACGTGGCAGGTTAAAATGTATGTAACAGTGGGTTATTATTATTGTTGTTATTTTTATTATTAATATACATTCACAATATTTGCCACTAAGAGTAATGTGGCAATTTTATTCTAATTTAAAGATATATATTATCTAAAATCAATGGCTCAATTATGTGTAGTTCTCAAAATTAAATCTGCATAATTCACATTATAGTAAACTGTTCACACTCATGTGGTTCTGGTTTCTTCTATCCTTTGCCCTGGTTTTACTAATACTCATCTGCAATAATAATACAGCTACTTTGCAGACTTTATTTTTTGTTGACTTTATTTTTAAATTAATAACCTTTAGCATTTACGCCCCTCTTTTTTTTGAAAAAGATAATAAAGAAGAAAACAAGCAAAACAAATAATTGCTTCTCTAAAATAAGTGTTTTTTTCCCACAAGTCAATCTCTTTCTACTGTTGCAGTGCGAAGGATCTGCGTTACATTTAACTGTAGATATTTGCTAACATGATGACATTTTATTTCAGCTTCAAATACACAGACACTTACCGAATTTTCATTCACTCTTATTATTGCCAGGCGTATATGTCACGTGGTCTTGAGACGTTTATATAGCTTCCATTTTTGAATGAACTTATTTATTTTGACAGAGACAATGGCCATTGATCAACAGCAATATTAATGTGGCAGTGTTAGCCAAAAGGCTATGTTTCCCTTCGGCAGACCTTAGATGAGCCATCCTCCCTTCAGCGTAAAATAACTATTCCTCTGAGTTCTTGAGTGAAGCATCATGTCTTGTGTTTTATTCTCTTTATTCGTTTAGTTTTGGGAGGGGATGGTGCCACTGGCCTGTTTCTCATGACCTCATCCTTGTGAAGATGAAAATGAAGAGCATCATAGATTCCCCCATCTCCCCCCACCACTCCACGCATTAAATATTCACTATTCCGTTCTTTCTAGCTGATTAATTATTAAATACTGGGGGACGATATGTCAACTGCAAAAAGATACAGTGTAAATAGGCTTATCAATTCTGCTCATAGTCACCGAGGGCCTCTCGTTTAATTTCTCCCAGCTTTGTGTCGCTGTAATTATTTCGCAGCTTATATCTTTCCACTGTATTGATCAGCCAAGGATCAGCAGCATGCTACAGTAGCGACACACACACACACACACACACACACACACACACACACGCGCGCGCGCAGCCCACTCACTATCCAGATTTAGCCTGCTCTGTTTCCTATAAAAGGCCGTAAATCAAATGGACCATCATCTATCCTGATGGGCAGAGCACCATTTTAAATCTCTCTCTCTCTCTCTCTCTCTCTCTCTCTCTCTCTCTCTCTCTCTCGCTCTCTCTCTCTCTCTCTCTCTCTCTCTCTCTCCGTTGTTGTTGTTTTTTCTCTTTGCCTTTCGAGTTGAAACCGGAGGAGAACAAACGGCCTCGTGCTGCTTTAAACAGCTAAACATTTAGCCAAAGGCTTCCAGCTCTGTAGCCATGGGAGTGTTTTTTTTTTTTTTGAAGGGATGTAAACGAAACCTGTTAAATTGCACAATAGGCTTCTCTCGTTCTTCACTCTGGCGCGCGTCCTTGTGGCCTAAATTCACGTTATAAATCACGAGAAGTTGTATCAGACTGACACAAAGGATTTAAGCTTCAGGGCGTTATGTGAATCATTTAATCCATCTCTGAATGAAACTAATACTTGTTTATTCACTAGTGGGTTTATGTTGATCACCAGCTCCTCTGTGTATTTGATCACATGGGCAAATTAATTATATTTACATTATTCTTTTTATTATCCGATTCCAAATTTCACCGGAAATGTGTGATTATGATTGTCCTTATTATTATAGCCTAATAGTAATAGCAGCAGCAGCAGCAGTAGTAGTGGTAAAGGTGGTACTTTGGCGAGATCAGCGTTATTTCTGTGTGCCATTCTGCTTATAAAAGGTAACTTAATTCTTCTTGATTTAACATATATTTTATATAAGCCTGTTTTAAACCTGCTCGATGCTCGGAAATGATTTTGATTACAGAAAAAACACAAACCCAACAAAAAATATGTAAAACAAGAAAACTTAAAACTAAATTAAGCAGTGGCTCAGCTGTTGCAGATATATGTATTATATAATAATTATCTAATAAAAATCAACTTGTGAGTCATTCAAACACATTTTTAAAACGTGTTTTCACATAATGTGGACAGTTTCAATTCATACGAATGATCATCAACCCTATACGATGGCCAAACACTAATACATTAAATAAAAAAAGAAACGAGCACTGTAATAATAACAATAATAATAATAATAATAATAATAAAATACAAAGTAGACCATTTGGACATATTGACAATAAACAGAGCCACACTAGCGCCACTAGCACCGATATAAAACATAATTAAACACTTTTTCTCTTCAATAACTCTCACGTGTGTGTTAATGGTAGAGCAGGAAAAGAAATCAGATTGTATTTCCTCGTGTTTGCACGCTGTCCTGGTTCTCGGTGTGACAGAAGAGTGTCCCTGCATTTTGTCCCGTATAGTGTAATAAATAGAAATATATGTTCATGTTATATTTCAATATCCCCTTTAGAATCCTTCACGGATATATTTATTAGATTGCTACAGAGGTAATATCCGCAGTGGGGAAGGGAGGCGCTGTCACCGGGAAGTGTTATTAAGTATAGGTGGTTTTATTATAGGGAAACATATCCTCCATAGCATTTTTTTATATGCTTATGCTAAATCGTATTACACAGGCAGCAGATTTAGCATTCTCAGTCATTTTTCTTTTTCATTTGAGGGAGAGGGAGAACAAGTCAGATCGTTTTGTTTTTCTGTCTTTTCTTTTGGGATAAAATATTTTCTCTCTTTTTAATAATAATAATAAATGTTCCGATGTGGTTCAGTTGTAATATACGTCTACTATCTGGATCAAACGCTGCATTAACAGTTTAACTGTTTATTTCAGGCTGTTCAAGATAATGTTACTGGATAATTATTATTCTCATGGCGAAAATGATTAAAATCCTATAACATGCGAGAAAAAAAAATGTTAACGTACCAATTTGTATTTTTCACCACAATCACGTTTTATCTCGTGGGATTTAGAATTTCTCCAGCGACATATATTATATGAAATTACAGGGTTGATCCATGCGCTACAATTCGATATATTTATATTTTATATGTAGACTTTTTATGTGTGATTGTGACATTAATCTCAGGATTAATGATATTTCCTAAATATATTTTGACCTATACCTTTATACCTGTAATGCTGCAGTGAAAGGTCATTTCCAACTCACTCTAAAAATAACAACATTTTAGACACAATTGGCTTAATCTAAAGACACAATGAACACATTTGAGTGCCATAAATACAAGACTAGAGGAACATTATGGGTTTATTTCATTTCTATCATTTCATTAGGAATGATGCAGTTGAGTCTTAATTTGATGTTGGTTTTAAAATCCAGACATTACATCATATCTTATAGTTTGCACTCCTAATAATAATAATACTAATAGCATGGATAAACCTGATATGCATATCTGATGCCTGAGTCAAAACATCAGACATGACCAACACAGCATGAATAGCATAACTGTATCGTATATTTCTCTGCATTCTGCACGCTGTGAGGTCAAGCTCTTTTTGCAGTTGTGGCAGGTCCGAGGGCTCCTTCTGCACGCTGAGCTCCACTTGGGTTGCCTCTGAACGTGCTCGTATGTGCCTGGTCCATTAGTTAGCCCACAGATGGCCTGAAATAGCCATCTAATGCAGTATCATTTAGCCAGAGCTGCCGCTGGGAGCAACAACAGGCCTGTTCGCTCTCAGCATGTGACCCGTAAAGGCTGCACATGGGGCAACAAGACGCCAACCAAAGAGGACTAAATACAAATGTATATCTATATATATATGTAAGGAACATCGTCGAAAAGTCACACAGGAACAAGACATCATAAGAGGTTTCAAAAACATACCATGAAGTGCAATAAAGTCACCATAAAGTCAGAATAAAGGGCCACAGAGGTGCTGCAGTCTGCTGTGAGCACCTAAATATCAGAGACATCATGGGAATTTTGTCACTATAAACTTATGATTAAATACCACAGATGGCTGTCTAAGTCCCGAAAGGAATATCAGAGGGATAGCATTACCAGTTTTACTATTATTGAGCACCAGAGCAGCACATGATGCGGAACCCGATAATGATATTATAGGAATATTACCATAGGAGATTAAAGATAATAATGAGAGGAAGAAAAAGAAGACGCAGGCACTATAAATCCAGAGCAAAACACAATAAAAGGTACTGAGTTCTCATTTCAGGCAGTAAATCTGCATTGCTAATATACACTCAGGTAACTCCTGTAACAGCACATTGCAGCTATTCATCTTTATTTTTACAAATCATTTGCTTGCGCACGCCTCAATTTGCCACTCGTGTTCAGCACCATCAGGGGACGATGTTCCATTTTACTTTCAGATTGTCTTCGCCTGTGTGGCAAATGCATTTTTCAGGTCGCTGGAGCTCTGAGAGCGGCAGCTCGTGGCCCCTCGGGGGACACCTATGCAGATGTTTTTCATATTCATTTTGGCTTCTGGTGAGCTTTTCTGACAAAACAAAAACAAATAAACATCCTGTTAGACAGGAGGCGAAACAGCTTGCTGGGGAGGAATGACACAGAGACACATAGAGAGACAAAAACTCTTCTTTTTTTTTAATCCGTTTTTGTTTTTTCCTGTTCCTTGATTTCCATTCTGCCTCCAAATTGAGACTGTGGCTGGGGAGTGGATCTATGGCCAAAACCGATCTCATTACAGTTATCGATCTTCTGTTTACCCATGGCTGACAAAATAGACAGGATTCATAGATATTTTATGATGCAGGAGATAAGTTGTTATTAATACCCAGATACAGTGATATGTGAAAGTGAGCCGCCGGGCACAGAGAGAAGAAAAACACAATGTAGGCTCACATTCATATTCATATTTTTTGAAGAAACAAAATGATAACGCTGTTTTGAAGACACAAAACAGTCTGGGCAAAAACACACATATATATATCTATATATAGATATAGATATATATATCTATATATATATATAATGTATTTCAAATAATAATTCAACTGCAATAGCTGTAAATTAGGTCTTTTCTGAAATGACTATATGTGAGAAGTTTTGTAATGTTTCATGATCAATCCTGTAATGTTATATTGGAGTTATAGTGACAAATGCTTAATGTTTTGTGTGGAAGATGTGATGAGTATCTTTGTGTCTGATTGTTCCAAAATATTCTTATAAAACTGTAAAAATGCAACTCTCCAAAGTTGTTCTAGCAATAGATTGCTAGTTGCATTGTTTTAAGTAGGCTGATATTATTATAGTGGCTTTTTTTTTTACCTTCATCACATTGTCAGTACTGACCCTGCTTGCCTGATTCTCATTGGCTGACCAGCATGCTGGATTTATCTTTGTAACCCTGCTAGTTGTCTCTAATTTCTCTAAATGGCAGGTATGTAATTTTGTAGCGAAACCCCCCCAAACGCTAACTTAAGAGACGGGCAGTAAATGACATTAAAGTAGACTCTGTTCAGCGTTCAGGCTGCCTTCATGTGATTAGCTGCTATGCGTTTGGAGCCCGACACATCTGCCGCTGTGCTCCAGATGTGGGACCTTACTGTGTCTCCCTTTCCTTTAGGGGAGCAGGCAGAGGAGAGCCGAGCCGGAGAGGCTACAGAGGGGCCGGGGCCTGTTGGGTCCCTCTGTCCTCTCCCCAAGGGAGACATCGGCAGGGTCCCTGTCTGGAGCACTATGGAGACATTAGCCAAATGCTATTACCCCGAGCTCGCTCACCTGCGAGACAGCAGTGGCCTTCTAGCAGACTATCCTTTTCCAAAGGGGGCTTGCCCAGGTGAGTCACCCCCCCCCACCAACCACCCTCCCCTCCTCACACATCTGTCACACCTGATTTTTGAGTGCATTCCTTGTGCTTAGCTTAGCTATTGAAAGTTTTTTTGTCTTTGTGAAATATGTAAAACATATTGCTGAAGCAGAAGTTTAAATCTTTCTCCCATGACCAGTTGAAAGCGATATATATTTTCTTGAATTGTTTTTTGGAGCTGATGCTGTTAATCCCGGCTTTCTAAACGTCTCTCTCTCTCTCTGACTTTTCCTTAAACGTCCTCTCCGCACAAACCTGCTGTTTGGTTTTCAAAATCTGGCAGGGGAATATTAGTTGTAATTACATTTATCTTCTTCAATTGGCAGCTTCTGGGCCTTCTCTTAGACTCCCCAAACAATACTGGCTTTTCCAGAGTTAAAACAAAATGGACAATCATTTTATCTGACCAAGGGCTGGAAAACTAAATTGTGTTTATAACATGAGCGTAGACAAACAAAAAACCTCAAGGGAAATAAGTTTGTATTTCAGAAGCTGCGGTTTAGAAATGGAAATAACTCCTTAAACTAGCAGATATTAATCTTGGAGCCTTAAAGTCCAAACGTCTCAATTAGTTACGATAACCTCATAGCTAATGCTAACATGGACTTTTTTAAAGAATGATTGCGTGATGTTTGACGCACCGTTTGCTGAACAATAATTAAACTTTATCAATCCTCTTTTTCAGCCGCCCTGTCGCCCTTCTCCGTGACCCGTCGTATCGGCCACCCTTACCAGAACCGGACGCCGCCCAAGAGGAAAAAGCCTCGAACCTCCTTCAGCCGGGTGCAGATCTGCGAGCTGGAGAAGCGTTTTCATCGTCAGAAGTACCTGGCGTCAGCCGAGCGCGCAACCTTGGCCAAGGCCCTGAAGATGACGGACGCACAAGTCAAGACCTGGTTTCAGAACAGACGGACAAAATGGCGGTAAGATTACAGATGGGGGGGGGGGGGGGGGGGGGGGGGTGGCGTTTCTTCACTTAAAGTGTTATCTGGCGTGAGAGCAGAGAATAATGAAGCGAAAGCATCGTAATTCTCTCTTCCACGTGCCAAATTTTGCTCATATCTTCTCCCTTGTGATGTACTTAAGCAAAACAAAGAGGCCGTGGTGGATTTTTCCGAAGCCGTTAGTCTTTGTGAGGGCAGGATGTTCACTCAGAAGAGTCACTCCTTCCGTCCAATTTTTTTCCCGGGCCATAAATCGACACTGAACGCGTCTGTGTGTTTTGCTCTTGGGTCCAAAATGCTTACCGGTGTTTTACTTCAAACACGAGCAAAATGGCCCGCAGCTGAAGCAGTCCAGGCGTCGTACAACACAACACCTATTTTGCTTAGCGTAGCTGCCAGTCGAGGCCAGTTCACTTGACCAAGCACAATTACTCCTGAGCCTCCTGAAAGGCCTTTTAGAAAGCTGCTGTCCAAAGCAATACTGAAACACTCACAGGAGGAATTGACTGCCAAGTCCATAGACAGAAAACACACACACACACACACACACACACACACACACACACACACACACACACACACACACACACACACACACTCCTTCACTTCATTCTAACTGTTGTTTATAGCCATTTGGAAGTAAATGAGTAGGAAATCAAATTATGAAGCCCTGCCCTTAGTTAAAGGGACAGGACACATATTTCATAAGCGTATTACAAACAGCTAAATTACCTTTCAGGGTTTTAATGTTTAAACGACCCTAAAGCTTTTTCGAATGACTTTTGAATTTAATACACGTGGAAAACACTTAAAAACTTGGGCTTGTTAACATTTATAAGTTAGTTTATTGGCTCCTTTTGTCTTAAACTAGTTTGATGATCCCCTTCAAAAAAGTGATTTATTGAATTCCAATCACCTTCTGCAGCAGTGAAAAACTAAGATGTATTTTTTTTACGAAAAGATGTAATAAAAAGGAAATGAAACCTGCCAAACTAAATCCAAGACTAAACAGCATGTCACAAGTAACAAGGGAATTGGCTTAACTGGTTTTTCTGATTTCTTAGCTTTGCTGAGATTTATGCATCTCCCTGTAGTGTGCACCTGATAGGATGAGCATGAGGGATGTCTTTGCGTGACGACTACGCTAGTAACAAGAGGATGATCGAATCAACAGCCAGGGAATCAGATTATGATAATGCTGTTAGCAATAATGTGTGGCTAATGGATGGAGGTCGGTGTGCATGAAAGAGTGTTTTAGAGGTGTCCTTCCTCCTGTGATTTCTACCTGCCATTTGTATTTGTCAGTTTATTTTGACGGCAATCATTTGTTTATTGTGGTTTTGTTTTTATAGCAACATCACCATCATTTCAAAAAAGCCTCGTAAAGTCTTTATTGTTCATTGACAAATTCGTAATAAACTCTGATAAACACCTTCCTGCGGACTCATAGTATGCCGATCACTAAAAGTTCACTTGTTGTTGGTTCTTTTCTCCGGAAAGCAACGTAAGGTTTCCATCAAAAGCATGTATCATTTTAAACATACTGTGTCAGGAAAACGCAGCCCTGACACACGATGTACAGGATGTATGTTACCGGTAACACATGCTGTTCTGCTACCTTTCACCTTTAGGCAGATTGTGTACTGTACCTCCCCCACCCACTGTTAGTCACGTCCCCTCACCAGCACCTGCCACTCATCCTGATCAGCTGTTATTTAACCTGAAGCTGAAGTATCTGGCACAGGTGATGAAGTTTGCAAATAAACAGGTTTCAGCAAAATTTAAAGGGGACATAACATTAAACACACACTTTTTCAGTGCTTGTGCACACACATTTGGATATCTGGAGTGCCTACCAACCCACAAACTGTGAAAAAAGTAAATTTGTGTCCCCTACTTATGTCACATGCAGTCTAATTCGAATATACTACCACTTCTGAGTATTTCTGCTACCTTTGCAGAGGTGCTCCCATATACTGTAGATTAGAAATGGACGTAGTCGTCGTGACGTCACCCATCGGCTTGTGGACTGCCATTTTGAAGCCTCAAATTTGGCATGTTGGGCATCGCCATCTTGTTTTTTGCAACCAGAAGTGACACAAGAGGGTGGAGTTAAGTACAACCAAGCACTGAATGAGACAGTTTTAGGCAACCAAAATGTTACAATTGACTTTCGTGAAGTGAAAACACGCTGTGAAAGGGTTAAGACGAAAACAAGGACAATTCTCAGACCTAACGCCGTGGTAGAGACCTTCCAAACACAAGGTAGCCCCGCCCAAAAGCATACCCTGCTTTATGGTCTGTTTGACTCTGAGTGGGACCACAATTTACTAAATGACCATCTTGTTGCAAAGAAAAAAACATAAACTGATATTTAAAATGTTTACTGAGGTAATAAATCAAGTGAGAAGTAGGGTCATTTTCTCATAGACTTCCATACATTCTGACTTCTTAATGCAATCAGAGGAGTCGCCCCCTGATGGCCATTATAAACAATGCAGGTAGACATTATGAGATAAATTCATATTTAAAGCATATGAACATGTTCTATTAGAAACTCAACAAATAACCTGAAAATGAGCATGTCCCCTTTAACTTGGGACCCCCTGTGGGGTCTTGACCCCCAGTTTGGGAGCCACTGCTTGAATATAAATATTAAAAAAGAAATGTTATTTCTGAGGACATGAGACAAAAATTGCAAACAATGCTGTGGTATAAATCGTGTGTACTGTACATGCCCCATAAGAGTACACATTTTCAAGGTCTTATATCTTCCTCTTCCTCTTTTGTCTCCCCCCCCCCATTCCACCCAGGAGACAGACTGCAGAAGAGAGAGAGGCTGAACGGCAGCAGGCCAACCGGCTGATGCTGCAGCTTCAGCAGGAAGCTTTCCAGAAGACGTTGAGCCAGCCTCTTCAGCCGGACCCCCTCTGCCTGCACAACTCCTCCCTCTACGCCCTGCAGAACCTGCAGCCCTGGGCAGACGATAGTAAGGTGACCTCTGTCACCTCTGTGGCATCTGTCGTGTGAGCGTGTGTGTGTGTGTGTATGTGAGTGTGTGAGTGTGTAGGCGAGGGAAGGGAGAGGCAGAGGGAGGGACGGAGCTTTGAATGAAGTGTGTTTATCTAAGTGTCATCAGTGTGAGAGGACAAAAGGGAAGAATCTCTTCAGACTATTTCTGACATGTCTGACGTTCAAAAATGCAGCATCATTATGGGATTGTCATAGATGCGGGTGGAAAAAAATATATATATATTGAATGGACATTGTGCTTCCTCACTCATTGATCGTTACCAGCAACATGGTGGGGGAGAGTGTGTAGAGAGAGACAGCTATATCTGTTACTGCCAAGACCCACAAAACACTGCACAGCACAGGAGCCGCACTGACATTGCTGTTTGTCCAAATGAAACAACTGTTATCTTAAATATCTAAAGTATGTTGAGTCATTTTCCTGCCTTACACCAAGTTTCCACTTTCCCTTCAGTTGACGGTCTAAAAGAGAGGAGGGCACATTATCCATAAGTGCCAGGAAACAAATGGACACCTCTGTACATGCCCAACTATCAAGACTGTCCCCCCCCCCCCCCCCTTCCTCTTGCCTCTGGATCCCTCACGAGGCGGCAGAGACTCTCTGCCAGTAACGGCAACAAAAAAAGACCTCCTGTTTTTTTCGTTTTCGACTTTGTACAATGTAGTAAATGCATGTTTCAAACCCCTTTTCTGTGTGCACTCGGAAGTACCATTGAAGTCGGCTGCCGCCGAGGTGGACTGCGGTGTTCGAGTGGTAGTGGATTGGTGGAACTCCCGATGACGAATTCCTCATTATGTTCAATTTAAAGGTGTTTTATATTAAATGATATTGTGACTTTTTGAAAATGACACACTTCTCTGTTTTTCTCCCCTCTCTTTGTCTCGCTGGCTTCTTTCACTCACTGTCCTTTCTGTTTGTCACCATTATGAAAACTGCGCAATAATACTTTATGATTTTTAGCTGGCTAGTTAGCCTCATGGGATTAAGCTATGATTACACATTAAAGTTTCAAACCACCCAAAGGTAAGATACCACCGAAATGTATCAGAAGGACAGCGCAATACCTTTTTTCATCCATAAAAACTGATGACTACAGCTCCCAGGTGTGAGTGTGAAGGAGGTGCATTGCCGAAAAGAACAGCAAGCACGCTCAGCAAAACCCTCCCATGATAAATGAAAGGTTTGAGGACTGATGCCTGCTCAAATTAGAATAAGAGTAAAGTGCACGTTGTGCAGCTGCCAAGGGAACGCTTTAAATGCAGCAGCCTGGTTTTTATTTATGTTTTTGTTTTGTTCCTGTAATTTTTAGTAAAGGATGGCTCACTTTAAGTTTATTTTGTCATGGTTGTGCCTCAAGTTGTTACTTTTCCTGTCGTAGTTTGCACACGGTCAGCTTATCGTGGGCTGACTTTCTTCCTCATCATGCCGTCTATCGCTGCCCTCGTTCTTGGACCGTGTGAAAAACAACAGGGTCAGATTATTAGTCTTACAAAGCAAGAAGCTCACAATAAGCTCTGTTTCCAGTCAATCAGCTGACGCCTACAGGAGGAATGGAAACAATCCCTCTGTACCTGTCACATGACGAACTTTATCATCGCATCTGTATATTTTTGTTGGGACAGGAGTTTCTTTTGAGCTGGTTGTAGAACTTTATTTATTTTTAAAAAGCTGCGAAAAAATGTAAACTAAATGTACACATACAGTATAAAATAATCCTAAATGACACCAGCCTTCTCTTTAGAAATAGAAAAAAAACCCACCCATTTTTGGATGGGAGCTCCCACTCCATTTTTGGTATTGCCTTCCATTGTTGTCCAGGTGAATCATGGGCACATAGACACCAGACAGCCGTAAACATTTGTTATCACCGCATCCACCCTATCAGGAAAAATGCTTATCGGCCAAGTCATAACAAAAACGACCTATCTACAAGCACAGCAAGACACATCATTCACATTGCTTGCTCGTAAATGAACCTTCGCCACCATGAACGTCACAGTAAATAGGGCCTCGCTCTGGGCCCACGTCCTCTCCTCGACATCGAACCACTGCATTTCATTGGCTCGTGAGCGTGTTGTCAGCCTCTTGTCAATTCTGCCGACAAATACATTTCACCTTTATGACGTGCTTAGGTTTGCAGACTCCAGGGTAAACATCTTATTTCCAACAGCATCCGGGTGCACGAGCATCCAAGTTGTTGCTCACATCAGGTTGATGATCTGGTTCGAAACAGCTGTCTGCAGCTGCAGCCACCCCCGACAACCCCTCCGCCTTCTCTAAAACACAGCGCCTGTGTTCAGTCAGTTTTTGGGGCGTCTCGCCTGGTTGGGATCCTGTCAATAGCAGGCAGTTCTCCAGGTGACGCCTCCCCAACCCCCATTTCCTCCGCTCATTGCTGCTTTCATCTCTCTGTCTCGGATGCCTTGAAGACGTGACTTGGCCCATTTTAGAAAAATTCCTCCCCTTTACTGTTTTCAAAACCGTGCATTGTGTTTCACTACAGGTGCTTAAAGATTATTTTTTTTCTCCTCTCTTGTCATGGCTTTTTGTTCTCTCCCCCCCCCCCCCTCTCTCTATCTCACCGCCAAAAGGCCCTGTCCTTATCCAATAAAATGTCACCACACAAGATGAACAAGAGAGGCTCAGGGTATATCAGTCTTCCTATCAAGCGCCTCTGTTTTGAACCGGGCCACCAACAAAAACTATTCACCAACGCTCGCTGTGTTGTGCTCCGTGTCACGCTCCGCCTGCTCCCATCAGTTGTTTCCATTCTTGAGAAAATCAGTTGAAATATATACGGCTTCAATGTTGACGGAGAGCGGAGCACAGACAGGTTTCATTTACTCTGGTTTAGGCCTCCAGCAAATGTCATGTTTCATATTAAATGGTCATTTTGCAGAGTATTCGATACTAATACGAACAAACAAGGTGTGCAATAATGTGTCATGTGCTGCATTCCCACAGATTACCGAACACAAATACGAAAACAAATTCAAACAGTAAACGTAACCATATGAGAGATCGTTTATACAAAAGCAAGTCAAACCAGAACAAACTCAGTAAACTCATGCGTACTTGGAACAAAGTAGCATTAAGATTTCCTCCCACAACAACATCCAGATGAAGAGTGATTTCAGTGACACATTTGTTACTTCATATAAAGCAAAGAGCACAAGAATCGGACTGTTTAAATAAAGATTAGTCTGGTTTATTTAACATGTTTGTTTAACTGGGACTTGATGGCCAAAGGATTATTATCTTCAGCACCTCCACAATTGTACAACACATTACTAATACTGGTGGTAAATACTAAGTACACAGTCAAGGTAATTGCGCTCTACTTTCCCTTTAATGCAGCTTCATACTTCTACTCCACTTCACCACAGAGGGAAAGTTGTACTTTTTTTACTCCCGTTTGTCCTTTTTGTTACTTTTCAGTTTGCAGTTTTTCATCCCCTTCCTGTCCAGTGAAAACCATGTATGTCCTTGTCCTTTATGTGTTGAGAAGAAAATCCAAATAAACTACTTAAAAACCATGTTGGATGAGCTGGAAAAATGAATCGTCACAAAGCTGACAAAAGGGCTGTTTTTCTGAGCTCATGAAAAGTTGACAGAGAGACACATGGTTCTCACAGGACAGCGACGCTAAAAACATATCATGATGTTCTAGGATATAAAGCAGTGCTGTAGATTAAACTGGCCAACAGTAAATCATTTGCACAACCTTACATTTTACTGCACTAAGTAGATTTTGATGATAGTTTTATTTAATTCTGAATGCAGGTTTTTTACTTGTATTGGAGTATTTTAGCAGTGTGGTATTAGTACTTTTAGTGAAGTAAAGCATCTGAATATCTCTTCTGCCACTGACTACGAGCATAAGCCTGTTTTTAAAAGTCTTCCTTTTGTTCTACTTGATACCATATATAATAATATCGGTCCACTTTCCTAACAACCATTTTCAGGCCACGACAGCAGCAGAAGCCATCAGATTTTAGAGGTAAGCAACGGCCGCCTCACGCTGCCAAACTCTTTTAGATCGATGCTGATGTGTTGACATGTGAGGCTTTGTTGTCGAAAGGTTGTTGACTTTATGATTCTTCACAATGTCATGTGAAAAAACTTCTGAGTGGAAACTGTCTCTTTCAAATAATGGTAACTGGTTTGGTTAGACGGATTCACTTTTTGTTTGTTTTCCTTTTTTTTTTGGAATATACAAACATATCAAGTATGTAAATAGAAGAACAATTAGGGGACGTTTGACGAAACATTCACATGGGTTTGTTCTGTAAGTCATACTCTGGATGTACGGTTTGATGTGAGGATTAGTAAAGCTGCTGTAGCAGGAAAATCCTCGAATGGAGTGAAGAATGAGGAACTCTCTCTGCAGTCTGACAGCATGACAGAGACTTCAGAGCAAACTCGACCTGCCAACATGACCCTCTCTCACACTCTTTCAGTCACACACACGTTCACACACTCACAAAATGCACTCACATAAACATGTACAGACAGTGATGCATGTTTGCATACAATAGGACATGGAGGGACTAAAGGCACACAGAGATATGAACATCTTCCTATTAACATTAGTACAATGTAAGTATAAGTACTGTTAGTGGTGAGGCAATTATGATGAGTCATTTCACTCTGACACTGACAGTGAGTGAAGGAACAGAATATAAAAACAAATATACAGGCTCTGTGGTGATAGAAGATGATTGTGTGATAGTACATATGAAATCGAATTCAGGAATCTGCACTAAGGTAAATGGGCCAAGCCCTAGAGCAACAACATCATATCTGCCATGAGAACGGATCTGCGGACGTATCCTGGCAGTCTGTGACACATTAATGCCTTCTCAAGCTTTCAGGCATGCATGAAGACAACTCATTCCTTAAGGGTGCATTATACTGGCACTGCGGATCATTGACTCCACACCTGCTCAATACTGGCCGACAATGCTGACTCACTCTGAGGCTCTCATTAAGGTCAGAAAGACGTTTCACAATTAAGCAACTCAGCTGCTGTTGCACAATTTCAGATGTTTTGTTCTAGATGCCACGAGTGTTTCCTGAGATGGAGTCTTGTGCAACAGAAATTAATCAAAGTCAAGTAGTCAGGGAGTCAAGGGGAAAGGCTGCAAAAATAAAATCTGTCAGTGCTACTGGAAGGTCAAAAGCCTCTAGCACACATTGAGTAAGTAGACTGTCCAGCTTCTGAGTGGCCTTGATTCAAACCCCTGCAAAGAGGAAAGCATTGAATCTTCACTGCTCTAGTATTGAGAGTACGACAAGGAATCCAGAGTGACACAAATATTGTCTTTACAAAAAAGTAATGGTACAACTGACATCCTAAGTCTTTTAGACACATATATTTAATCATCGGATTTTTATTATACTACTTAAAAGAGGATATAATTTCCAAAACACAAAATCACAAACCAAAAAGAGAAATGTATTCATGCACAAGTTGTATGGGGCTTTTCCCCTAAAACAAACCATTATTAAAAATGATTTTGTGTGCAGTTTGGTGAGTTTTATACTTGGTTCATTTCTCTTCTCTGTAATATCTGAGACTGCAATGGCTCTCCGTTTTTATTATCAATATTTTTAACAACCACAGAAGACTCTTTTAAGGCTGTAACTGCCCCCTGAGCTGCCCTTTTAATATTACTGACCAAAGGCCTCTTCTATTTAGTCCAAATAGCGCATTAAGTGATAGACATAAGGGAGAATATCCCAATCTTAATATAAAAGCTGTAAAGCTTATTTGAGGAAGCCATTACAATTTAGGAAAATACAAACTACTGTATAAAGACCATGCGGATATTGAGAAAATTGGAGGTCGTGCAAAGTACAAATGTATTGACTTAAATCTAATTTTATAGCCTATTGATAATCAAACATTTGAACATTATTTGCCTTCTCTGCCACCTTCTTGTTGACTGTGATGAAGAGTATTGCTATACCTTTTCCTTGCACATTTTTAAGTGAGTAAGCACCTAACTACCACATATCTAAAAAAATTATAATATTGTAATAGCCTCATTTAAAATATAATGAATGACATCAAACCTCCCTGATTATTGTAGTTATAATTTTTTCACATTTTTCTTTAAAGGTTATTTACTCAATCTTTATTACGAGAGCTCCATCTAGTGTTCAACCATGAGAACACACAATTTACTTTGTCCCGCCCAGTCTGTAATTCTATTGGCTCCGGCGTTTACAAATCGCAATCACGTTCTCCTCTCCTATTGGCTAGGCGACGTGTCCGTCACACCAGTTTACGGAAGTATAACCACCCACAACAAAGATGGAGGACGATATCTCAGATTTGAGCAGACCACAAATGTACTTGTTTGGTGAGCTCGCTTATTCTGGCAAACCTATATAAAAAATATCGGTCACACAAACAGAGTTTCGTCCATGTTATCACGCACAATTAGCCATGTATCCACTTTTAGCTGGAGGAAGTTAAGCTAAAAATAGCCCCTCTGCTCGCGCCAATTCAGCTCTTTTGTTAGCTAGCCGAGCAAAGCGTGGAGATACAGCAGCTATAGCAAAGGAGTGAATCCCAGCATGTGTTGTGTGCAAACTATTTTAATGCATTTGTGCAAACGCAAGGCTAGTTACACGTTGCTCGTGTCGTTTTCTCTAGGTTGTACCCTCAAATCGGACAAACGGGAGTTCAAAATTGACGTAGACGACGATGATACGGAGCAACAGCTGTCACTCAAAGCAGTAAGGACGACTCTTGTTGTTGCACATAGTAATTGCAGAGTAATTACAGATTTGTGGTACATTATTCATATGTGTTTGTCATTTTGGTATCCGTCTTTCTTGACAGTTAAACCAAATGAGCTGCTAGTTAAGCAGTTTTATTGTCTTTCCACTAATAGAAAAGGATGTTTTTCATTACTATGCAGAGTCATAAACCCTGAAAAAGAGCTTTTTAAACATCTGATAGAATCGTTTAATGTTTTGTACACACACAGAGATAATGTGTCTTTGTTTTGATTTTTTGTTGTTTTGTTTTCCATGTGACTGTAGTTACACATGTTTTTTTGGTTATTTCCATGATTTCACACAGCAATCTATTTCTATTTTATACTTTATCAATAATTTTGTCAAATCTAAAACAATAATTAAGAAAATAGACCAAATGTGTTTGTTTTCTTGAATAAAAAAAAAAGTTATTTTTTTTATGTAAAACAGAGAAAAGCAAGACACTTAAAACTAAAATTAGAGCCTAAAATTAGAGCCTTACTGATAAAATCTGGGTGCTAATGTTTAACAGCGTGTACCCACAAAATGTTCGGGACCTTTACTGGAAAAGGTCCCAAAAAATGTCGAACATGGAGGTGTTGTACGAGTCATCTGTGCTGCTTTTCCAGGTGTGTCTGGGAGCCGAGGCGGAGGACAAGTTCCACATGGTGGAAATCGAGGGCCTCACTTATGATGGGAAATCTACCAAAGTGCCGCTGGTTGTCCTGAAACCGTCCGTCCTGCCGTCTGTGAGTGAACGCCGTGGCTGGCATCATTTTGTAAAGTGTTTGAGGGGCTACTCAATGGTGTATATATGTGAAGAATTATTAGGCGATATATGAATAATATATTACAGGAGTTAATCTGGTTTTCTTTTTTTTAACTCGTAAAAGTGAAATAGCTTTCAACCTTTTTCAAGCTGAATGAAATGACGAAAGCTAAAAAGAAAAGGGTGTAAATAGTATATTAACGGTGATTAAATTGCATGTTTTGTTGTTGTGACGGTGATGTTCTTCTTGTCCAGATGAGTTTAGGTGGGTTTGAGATCACACCTCCAGTTACCTTCCGTCTGCAGTCTGGCTCTGGACCGGTTCACATCAGCGGGCAGCATTTTGTCAGTGAGTGTTTAGGCTTCTGCTGACTTTTCTTCCTCTGGAATTACAAACACACGCCAACAAAATATGACTCGGTTATCAGTTCACATCATAATAAAGAAATACTTACCTACTTCACACTAAATCAGTCGAAAAGTAGCATTTCTAATTGTATGATTCTCTGTTTCCAGTAATGTTTGAGTCCATAAAAGGGCTGCAGGTAAATCTGAGTGAAACAGAATTCATGACGAGTAACCAGCGTTTGCTTTGTAGGCGTGAAGGATTCAGACGATGAAGAGGAGAACAACAGCTCACCGGTGAAGCGGCCAGCGAGCCTGATGTCGGGGAAGAAGCCTCCATTGGTAGCTGACTCAGTGTTTTCATTCAGCTGCCGAGCTGCTTTAGTAAAATCTCTATTTTTAAACTTTATTTTAAGTTTACATGATAAGATTGAATAAGGTTATTAAAAACCTTTGTGTGGCCGTGGTGCTTATTTGTTACGCTAATGTCGTTGCCAATGATTCATTTTCCTTGTAGAAGAAACTAAAGATGGATTCTGACGACGATGAAGAGGACAGTGACGATGATGATGACGAGTACGTCTTTTAATACAGATTTTTCTTCCTGTCATGGTGCAAACCTAAAAATATCACATTTATCTCCCTAAAATTAAAGTTTTATGCACAAATAATATAAGGCATGATTTTATTCTCCACTTTGTTTCTATAATTCATCATATTGCCTTTTACCTGAGTTCATGTTTTCTTTTCCTCTTCCTCGTTGTTTTAAGTGATGAAGATGACTTAAGTGATGAAAATGATGTGAAGCCTCAGAAGAATGCCGGAAAAGAGCTCAAAAAAGTAAGGCGTGGTCTTTTTTTATTTCTTTATATCAACGATAGGTAAGGAGAGTTAGTACGGCACTGTTCACACACGTCAGCAATTCAAAGTGCTTTACACATAAAAGAATCATGATTCTGAATAAACGTCCGTTAATCAATGTAGAACTTTTGGGGAGGCTTTTCAGTTTGGTTCAAACCAAACTAAACGTCACTATCAGGTCTCTAAACTTTAATCTATACAGCAGATTAAATTTGTTTGGAGTGTCTCCAGTCCCCAGTCGTCCACCAGGTGTCAGAGTATTCAAGGGCTTCCCCTCAGCTGATGTTTTGTGTAAAAGGAATTTGTGTGCGTAGCTGCTGTCGGCCCCCTCCCCTTGTGTTTCTACCACTTCGCGTAAACTCCCACAGACTGTACCCTATAGTAGCATGTCATTCCAGCAGGCCCTTCCCATTCTTGCACTCACTGACCGTCCACCTTTTTGTATGAGACACAACATGGAACTTTTTTTCCATCCTGTTGGCTCATGTACCCACCTGTTTTCCCCGAGTAAAACACAGGGTCTGTGTGGCGTAATGATCGGATTTCTCCTCTGTAATCTCCTTGAATTCTCACTGTCTCACCAACAAGACGGCACTATGTTATCCTGTACACACACACACACACACACGCACACGCGCACACACAGAAGTGAATATATACACACTGTAGACATGTACTCTTACTGTAAATGTAAGCACACATGCATACTTGCAAAAATGCACACGGTCTGCAAACATTAACAGGATATATCTACAATACATATGCAGAGAAGCAAGCAGACACACGCACACACACACACACCAGTTATGGGAAACCTCTTCCCCCATTTTTCTGCAACACTGCATATCTTCGTCCCTCTGTCATCCCACTGTTAATATGATTGCTCCTTTTTATGGTCTCTCGTGCCATTTCAGCGCTGCACCTGGCCTTTTCCCTTTGAACACTTGTTGTGCGCGTTACCACAATCATTAGCAAGTGTGTGGGTGCATGTGTGTATCTGCCTGGCTTTTTTTAGGTCGGTGTCTGTTTGTGATTTCTTTTTTTTTTTGGTTTTAAAACACGCTATCCAACTGCAAACTGTGCCAGGCAAGAGATCAAAGCCGGGCAGATGCGCATACCTGCGTCATGAGCGCCGATCCTCGCCTCGGGGTCAGATGACAGCTGAGCATTTCTGTCACCTGTTGATTTATTCTGTTGTCTTCTCGTCTAATACCTCCACCTCCCGTCTCCCCGTACCCCCCCTCCCCCTCTACAACCTTAATCCTTTTCTTCACCCGTCCTCTCTTTAGCTCCGTAGTTATCCCCGTCTCATGCTTTAGTCGTGAAAGAACTCAACGTTAGAAAGTAGGGCTGGGAGCAATTATTATGTTTTTGACTGCTAAATCAGCAATATGTCAATGTAGTTTTTTTTATACCTTTTTTATGTGGTTACACATTACATTACTGTTTTAAGTACCAACCACAATGTGTCCGTAGCATTGTGTTTGGACAGTTGGTATCGACAAACATTGAAGCTCAATTTTAAGTTCAACTGCACTCAACTGAACTGTGCTTGTGTTGATTTCTGTTGGTCACATTATGTTGATGTTTTCTGCCATTTGTGAAGAGCGACCCTGTTCACGCAGTTGCGTATCTTCCAGTCGTGTTCTGGACCACTTTGGATGCGTGTTATAGATTAAGGAGCCTGAGGCGTGTGGCCCGGCTGTGCCTTGTATTCAGATGTTTGAATTGCAATTTGACGGCATTGCCGTGATGACTAAATCTTACATCCTTAATTGAGATAATTATCTTAATTTTGACAACGGAGCAGCCCAAGAAAAATAAAATAAATTGAGTTAACTTATATTTAAGAAGACTCAACATGAGCCTTCAGACCGCTGCGCCTTGTGTTCAACCTTCTCTGAGTCATGTAGCCTCCAACTAGTCTCACAGAGAACGAGATGAAGACTCTAAGTGGGATAATGAGTGAGTTACTGAAACAGGTTTTTTTTTTTGCAAATTGTTTCAATGTGGTTGTTTGTCAAAGGAGTCAAATACGCAGGTCCTCACTACGACAGTTATCCAGCCTTCATGGCAAAGCTTTCCACTTCTTAACTTCTCTATCCAAACATCACATGAACAGCACAAGGACTCTGTTCCTATCTGGTCACACAGTCTACACTCTCTAGTCTTTTAGTGATGCGCTTCACTTTGTGGTAGAAGCAAAGTGATCTGGTGAATTATGATAAACACAGAAAGGAGACAATCTTATCTAAAACTCTACTCATATCCCTCTGATTTGCAAAAAGAAGTTTGGCATCCACACCGTGGAGCCTCCTCACAGCATCTTCTACTACCAGGCACGGCTCTAGGAAATAACATGTGTAATTGCCTTGTAGCAGTTATGTGAACACAGGCAATTACACTTGTAGCCCATTCCAAGGGAAGGGTTGGTGCTCAGGAAATGCAGGTACTTGCCTCGGCTATTACAAGGTAATTACACAGGTGACTGAGAGCAATGGTAACCTGACAGGAAGGCCTCCAGTGTGGAGAGCAGTGACAAGGATCTGATCGGTGACAAATCACCGAGTGTGTCTCGTGCTTCCTATGTAATTTCATAGACTATACTAGATGGTTTCAGTTTTATTACATCTCTGATGTGGTTACAGTTGTGTTTTTATTACACAAACCTTTTTACTGAGATATTTAATCAGACAAACTATTACATCTTAAAGGTGCTAAATTCCAAATTCAGAGCATATCTATGATTGATTACTTAGCCGGGGGCTAGCAGCTAGCGGTGCTAACAGACCAAAGGAACAGTGCAAACAACGGCCAACAGTGCTGACCTATTGGGGGGCGGGGGGGTTACCAGAGGGTGGGTGACATCATGATGTTCTACTTGTTGCTTTTTTTTGAATATACGCTTTTGTCTTCATGGGTTACTTTTAACAATAGTTTACATGTGCAGCGTTGATATTAATATGACGTTATGATAAACACCTCGCTGCAAAAGACTGAAGAAAATTCACCACAATTGCAAATTCTACAAATGTGGTTCACGTTATGTTACGTGCCAAATATAATTAGTCAGCTAAAAAAGAGGCTTGGCCATTACAGCTTTGATATGGGAGTTTTCATAACAACATAACACAACTACCATAGCCCCAAAATTCATTTTCATATTCAACATAACATGTCTGAAAGTAAAAAGTAGCTTTTAATACAAGAAAGGTGTGCGTGTTTTCTTGTTGTCCTTTTTTACATAAACACATGTATTTACAGGTGAAATGAGCAGTTTCCTGATGACACAGGGGCGTCGTACTGGAGATGTCTTCCTTATACATCGTGGTTGTGTTCTTCATTTTCTCACAGTTTCCGGCTAAGAAGCCCAACAAGACTCCGGTGAAACAAAACGGCCCCGCCGGAAAACCGTCAGGGTCAGCAGCCAAACCACAGATTAAGGTAGGGAACGGCTTCATCAGCTGCTCAGCGTTGATCCCTCGTGCTTATTTAATTAGTTGATTGACAGCCTTTATACTGTGGAACAGCGGTGAAAACCAACCTGTTTTTGTTTGTATGTAAACAACATAATGTGATGTTTGTTTAGCCACACAGAAAGATATCTGGAAAAACTCTATATATCTATATTACGCAGTTATGCCACACAAACCAGTCAAACCCAGCAAGTCAATTCCTAATAAATGACATCATGTGGCTCTCAAAAGTATGTAAAGTAATGGTGGATCATTAAAATGAGAGTTCTAAAGAAGAACAGACAAAGAAGAATGCGTATACTGGATTATAAAGGAGCAGCTTTGACAGATGGATACGGTGTTACCTCCCGTTTTGTGTCCTGTCGAGCAGAGATTAGATACTCCTTCACAGAATAAACCGGCGGAGAGCTACAAATGTAAAGCCTCGTACTTCTTTGCAAACAGACGTGGACCTCCCACTTCCAACAGGATGTGTGAAGTGAAAACCTGATGAGGCCTGCAGGCAAAATGCACTTAAAAAAACCAACTTATTTTTGTGTTGAATGAATTCTGGTCAAACCTGAGCCTGAGAAGACAAAGGGTGTAATTGTCTGCATTTATTGGCTTTCACAATTAAAACATGCCCAAAAAAACCTTCCCATTCCACAGCCGAGGAATGTGATAAATGCACATTGCAATTAGCTCAACCTGATAGTTAATTTCTTGGATGGAATGTCTCGGACAGCCGCCTCTCAAAACCCCACAGCTTGATCTCTGGCTCTCTTTAAGCAAACACACCTGACCTCCAAACGGGTTTCCTGGGGCAGGGTTTAAACCCGCGACCCCTCGGCCTGACCCCGATGTCTTGAGTTGCAGCCCCCTTTGATGCCCCTCCAACTCCCTGTTGCACATGTAACACAGGAGGGGAATACAAATTGGCAAGCGCCTCTGCAAGTTTACACATTTCACGAGTTATGTTACTGTGATAAAAAAAACGACTCGGATAAGGAGTTATGTGTCGGCGTGCAGAGGCCGGCCGCTTGTGTGATAAAAACACATGCTGTGATCTCACACACACGTTAGAACATTGTCGTTTCCTGTCTTGATGTTTTTGACAGACAGCTTCTGTGATTTTTATCATGTTGAACACTAAGCTTCTGGATTGCTGAATTTCTGAGGCGATGAAGCGATTCCCCCCCTAGGGCCCCCAGGGGTTTTTGGTGTGTGCGGGAGAGTGCAGCTAATTCTGTAGTGGCCGTTGTCCAGACACAACACAGTGGCTCTTGAAATGCTCCGGGGGATTAGCCGATGGGCAGCCGATCTGCCGAAACCATCGTTTAACCCTCTGGCCCGTGGGGCTTCAACTGCCCCCCACCCCATCCCATCCCCACCTCTCCACAACAACTGTTCCCTCTCTACAACCTCTTCACACCCCTCACTTCCTGGACACACCTTCTCCCAATTGCTCCCCATTACCAGCGTTTGATGTCTGGTGCAGCTTGCGCTTCCAGATGCCCCTGAGGAGCGAGGAAGCGGGCGTGGATGTCTGTTTTTTTTTTTGTTTTTTTTGTCTTTGCTAAACGCAGGTGACTGGTCATTAGACCGGCTCGTCAGATCTGCTGCCAGTACCGCAGTTCTCACCTCTCGCGGCCCAGCGTGTAGCTGCACCTTCTCGTGTAACAGGCTCGACGTGAGAACCGGCTAACTGATCTGAAGTCACTTTATCTCGCAGCTGGTGTCTGTTGATTGATGGGTTGGGAGTAGACAATGCCTTCAAGCACACGTCACAGTCGTAAAGTGTATACCACTTGTGTCAGGCTGATCCCAAAAGGGTGTGAGTCATTGTTTTAGCGACTGATTGTCATGTGTTGCAGCAGGTGTTGTTTGTGTTGAGTGTACGGATGTTGGGTTCTAACAATGAAACATGAAAACTGTCAACTCCTTTTTATTTACATGCACAAGTCACAACGGGCCTCCAAAGCTCTCGTTCCGACAAAACGACAAGTGCCGTCTCTGGACAGACCCGATGAGCAAAGGTGCCCCACCATGTGTTCGCACTGGATTGCAGACAACACACTGCATCAAATGATAGTGTGCTTGTGATTAAGTTCCATGTCTCGTGGCATCTGTAATCAGTGTCTGGTCCAGATGAAAAAGCTTGTGCTTGTGTTTATCAGCTGTTTCAGGTCCACAGCTGTCCCTTGGAAGTCAAGAGCTTCCCATAAATAATAAATACGTAGTACATTTGTCTGGCCGGGAGCCAGCAGCATAAGTTTCTTTTGTAGTGTGGTATGTGTGCGTCAGGGGTTTCTTCCCTTTTATACCTTTTGATCTGTGCTATAAAACGCTGCTCTCTTGGGGACAGGGACAGATAAGTGCTTTTTCTTCTTTTCTCCTAACGAGAGAGAGAGAATTTATTTTCTCCAGAACATTCCACCTGATTTTAACTATTTCAAGTCTTTCCCTGTTTTTTAAAGCCTGAAGTTGCTCAAGGTGTTTGAAGTAAGAAGTAGTAACACATGACATGTTGACTGCTTTCATCCAAACAACCAGTTCAAGTGGGAGATTAAGAAACGCGCTTTTTGATTTCACTCATCCTTTACTGACCGCGACGCTGCCTAAGTCAGTGTTTATGGCAGCCTAAACCTGCTGAAAATACACAGTTATTTGCTTTTAATATACTTTGGTTCGGACTCAAATAATAATATATAAGGTGGACCCAGTAAGTAACAATCTGATACATATGAATGATATTTAAACCTACTTACAATGCGTGACCTTTACCCTAAAATGATCTGTGCCATTCTCCACCCACTGAGCTCCTAAACTGCAGCGTAAAATAATAAAATGTTCTGAACTATAAACCAAAAAGATAATCAATCACTGGACAACTGTCCATTTGCTTGTGCGTTTTTCTTCTTCTGTTTTTCGGCTCTCAGGCTAAAGAGTAGCTTCATACTCGGCTCTGTTCCTCTTTCAAATGCGTCTCTGGCTATCAATGAAACCTGCAATTTCACTGGATTCCACTCCGGCTTTACATGTAGGGACAAGCTCCGTGGCTTGTGTAACACGCAGTCCCGGCGTATGGTGGGTGTGTGTGTGGGTGTGTGTGTGTGTGTGTTTGTGTGTGTGTGTGTGTGTGTGTGTGTGTGTGTGTGTGTGTGTGTGTGCGCGCGCGTGTGTCTGTGTTGTTGTTGTGTCACATTCACACACTTCCTAATTGAGGACCTCTGGGGCCTCGGCTGCCCGGGTCTGAACACACCTGTGGGCCGGCTGGTTCAGCGCTCACGCTAGCAGCTAGAATGTTAGAAACGATAAAGAGTCGCCGCTCGTGATGCGTTGTTTTAGTGTTGACCGTCCATAAATGTTGTGAAGTGTTAAAGTGTAATCTTTTCCGATGGAAGTCGTTAATTTGAGCATAACTTCAATTAAAAAAATAGCTCAACATGAATTACACATTTATTCCTTTTAGTCCAGTCGTTAGGATTTGACATCAAGGGAAAAACACTTTGGACGAACAATCTCTGTTACTCATTGGAGAGTCGGGGCTTGCCCTCTCCTGCTTGCAAACAATAAAACCATAATTTGTACCTCATGTATTGGTTAAAAAAAAAAAAGATGGTGTAATTAGGCTGGAATTTGCTGTCCTTTCTCGTGCTTTTATCCTCTTCCAGCAGGTTGCCCACGCCAAGCCCGTAAACATAGACCCAGACTAACTGGGTCATGGTAGGGCTGTAGTCCAGACCGGCCTGTGGGTCAGCTAACGGATCCGTCACCAATAACTTCAAATGAGAACAAAAACATAGATATACCGTGGCCTAATATGAAGTTTTTTTTTATCTGCATCTCTATAAATCTCTCTCTATTTGACGTATCAATCAGTGGTTCTTATCTCATTGATGTATTTTTTTTAAGACACCTGCCCCAGGAAGAGACAAACCCCAGGCCGGCCTGTCTAAATCTCCGTCTCTGACACACTCTGAGATTAAGAGCAAGTTGTCAACGGCAGCCAAAGAGGTACGGCTGTCATCCTCTTTTGTAAAGGACCACGCTTAATTGAATGTGTGACGCGCGGGTAAGCCGATGATTTAATGAGCTTTTTCCTGTTCATTAGGGAAAACCACTACCGAAGACCGAGCAGAAGTTTGAGAATTACGTGAGGAGTTCTTTCAAAATCTCAGACAAAAAAGTAAGTAATCACGAGCTGTTTGATGTAGCATGTAGCCTACATATCTATTGAATGCACTTGGCTTTGAGAGCCCTGATTACGAGCATTCTAAGAAGATTTTTAATGTTTTCAAAATGCAGTTTTGTCACTTTCTAGGTTGTTGTTTTTGCGATCTATGCATTTAGCCTCATTAACACTGAGCGGCACGTTTACTTCAACCTTCGTTTTTGAGCTTTAAGAGCTTTTTGCCGTGATAGATACGGAGGAATGCGTTGTTGTTCGCACTGTGTCCTCGTACCACACTCTGTCCACTCGGCCTCAAACGTCTCTCCGGCGCAGTGAGTTCACTTTGAATTATCTTCATTTGTGTCAGCGGGCTCTTTCGAGATGGAATGGGAGTACACCTGCCAAGGCGAACTCTTTCTCTGATTTACTGGAGTGAGTGTCTTTTGTAGCCTTAATGAAGGGACTGGGGGTATGTGGATGGTACCAGTCTCTTTCACATTCAAGGCCTTTGACCAACCTCTTTCTAAATGCAGGACTTAAATCTTTTCCAATGCTGCTTGTCATTTCAGAGGAAAAACAACAGCCCCTGCACTTTGTTTGGTGGAGCACGAATTAATCACCCTGAACCCTTTTAGATTATCACCACAGACTAAATGATTGCAGGCAGGGTGTCACATGGTAGAGCTGTGCCGTCTGTATTTGTAAGAAGTCTCTTATAAAGTTCTATTTGAACATTATTCTGTGATCGCTTTGCAGTGTTAAAGCGTTAACTGTACAGTTGTGCATTTGTGAGAGCAGGTGAAAGCTCTTCAGACCGGCACTCGGGCTGGGCGGACAGGGAAAAGAGTAGGGGGGGGGTGGGTGGGGGGGTGGAGTGGAGTTGGGTTGGGGAGAGCTTGTTGATCCCAGTGTGTAGAAACATCTGTGGAAGTGCTTTGGTTTCATCAGCCAAGGTCTGAGATCTGTCAGACCTGGAGCACCTAGTCATACACTCTGGTATGTACTGCTGCCCCCGCCCAACCCCTCGTCGTTCCCCAACAGCCCCGGCTACACTCAGCGTTCCCACAGGCGAGCGCACAAACGCATGCTGTAGTAAAAGTGAGTCATATGTCAAATGCTGTATAGCACTTAATTTGTAAGATTTATAATTTCATGTCTCTTTTCTTTCCTCTCTCCCTCCCGCCCTCCCTCCCTCCCCGTACCTTCCTCAGGTGGTGAAGGACCTTTGGGGTTTTGTACAAACACTGAAGATTGAGAAGAAGTAACAAACCTTGTACGTTTTGCGTCCTGCAAGACATTTAAAGGCACAGTCAGCGAGATTTCCTACTATCTTTGAGTGAACAGGAGGGCCGAGTGCTGAAAAATGGGTAAAGCCATTGCTGATGCAGGTGTCATTGTTTTGTTGTTGTTGTTTTTTTAGATGCGAAGCACCTCCTGGAGCTTGTTCGTAACCCACTCACAAAGTCGCTCGTTCCCGTTTAGCAGAGTTTTCCACCAGGGGGATGCTGTCCACCTTCATCGCATGCCAGTCTGCACCACCTACAGGGCAGCGAGGTGATTGCACCAACAATTAGGACCCGCAGATCCTTCTGGTACAGAAATAGCTGCTGCAATCTTAACACTGCGCCACCTGCAGGCAATAAATGTCGCACCTGCAGATTTTTTATAGCTGTAGTAACTTAACAGATATGTAAATTGTCAACAAAACAAGTATTCAGAGCAAAGGACAGACCAGAAAGAGTCAAGTCTTTTTTTCATCAGTATCTTTTTTTGACCACATTTCAAATCTTACACACGATGTAAAATAAACATCCTCAAGCATCAGCTGTAAAAACGAACTGCTGGTGGAGTAGCCGTCATATTACAGAAGACGCTCCTCTCCTTGCCGGTGGAAGGTGAGATCGGCACGCCGACACCTTCAGATATATAGTCGCCGCATGCTCAGCAGTTTGATGATATTGTCCGAGCCTGGTTTCAGGTGCTTCGCATCCCACGACACTGTGTGTCCTTAGTCAGCAATGCAATAGGAGATATTGCAGAATGTGCCTTTAAATATCTCTACTGTAAACTGAGATGAATCAGAGACCCCGTTTTTTTTGGTGAATTTGAGCAGAATATACAAGGACGGTCAAGACAGCTGATGTCGATATGTTTTTCCTCCAAAGTGTTGCGTTCTTATTTTAGGTTCCATCTGGCTCCACTCAGCATTTTTTAGCTTGCGAAAAAAAACCGCTCACAGATTGTAGTATGAATTTGTCTGGCATAATTCTCTATACATGCTGCACAGGAATTCATCAGAGTAAGTCGAGCTGTTGATGAAACATTTCATCTAGAAACGGTTACATCCATATATACGTACGTACTGTCACACGTCTTCTCCAGTCAATCTATTGAGTTTTATCATATTTTTACTGGAGACACACCCAACAGTGTTATTTGTCTTTTTCTTCTTTTGTTTATTTTAATCTTTAACACTCTTTCAGACGTGACAAACCTGCTGACTCAACTTATTTCGGATGGTATTTCTGCGCAGCGTGAATTCATATCAAACCCGTTAACGTCTGTGAAAACTTTGAGTTTTTATTACAGTGATTACAAAATCTGTAGCAAAAACAATTATCACAAGAGCAGTACGGAAAAACATTCTGAAGAATATTATGAGCTCTATAAAACCAACACAGCTGGCCCGACTAAAACGTGTTCGTTTTAAAGTAACGTACAGTGCATACAAAAAGTTCAAAACAAAGCAAAGAGATTGTTAACTAGCTCCTGGAGTGTGTTGTGACATTAACACCGTTTTTAAATGTGTTTCAATGCACTCTAATGCCCGAAAAGCTGGTTTCAAGACTATGAACACAGAACATCTTATTTAAACATAATCATAAGGTGTATGCCAGAAGATCACGTCACCTTTACAGAAACCCCATAAAGAGCTCAACCCCATAACTGTTAGCACTCTTGTATATCAGTGCTCTGATGACAATAAGCATACAATGGCTCTGTGCTTATGTGTTTACGATCGCGTATCCGGTCCTGATTCTGTATTTATGAGCCTTTTATGAGCCGAATGTTGGCTGTTAGACGCCATCTTTAACCAATCAAATTGCTCGGTTCAGCCCTCCTGTCGTCTGCAAAGGATAGTTTAAATTATTTGGCTCTAAACTTAACTTCTTCAACTACTTCAGGTTTTTAAAGTCACCGTGATAATTCACCTAAATATTACATTTGTAATATCTTTATTGTCCTTTTTGTAGCGAGGTTTCCGTAGGAGCAGGAGGCCGACTCCAGGATTTATTTTTGAGTCCTTTAATAGTGAGTTTTTTTTTAATCTTATGCTTCCCTTGTATCAAACTTAATGTACTTTTTTTTTCTGTTGGCGAGTCTCTTGCTTTTATTTCATAGTACGGCAGCTGAACTATATTTGTACGTGTACGCTTAATCCGCCCTCGCTAACAGCTGGTTCTGCAGCTCTGTTATCGTGATTTTTGTTTGAAGTGTTGTGTTCTAGTTTGGTATAGAAGTGTTTAATGAGTATAAACCCCCTTTTTCAAATGTTCAAAATACCGTCCTGTTTTTGATAACTCTTGATTTTAGTCCCACTGTTTGTCCTTCTTTTGATTGTGTCATTTTGAAGGCAGTACCTAAATATGTTCATGTGGGGAAAAATCAAAACATTGAGATCTTTGTTGATAACCTGATGTGTGTTTAGGGCTCGTTGGTTTTAGTCATTTCATAAAAATGTGGTTGGAATTTGGCTTTTAAGTAAGTGTCTACTGTAGTATCAGACTAAAGAAGTTCTGTTTGGATCCATGAATTCTTCTGTATGTTCTTTATTGCTTTTGTCCGACCTGAACAACCTAAAGTAAAACATCAGCATGCGTTAAAAGGCATCTTCAACTTGAATTGACAACAAACAGGGCTCGTACGTATTTACTGCATATGTCGATGCGAATGAAATTGTAAAACACTGAAACATTGGTATGAGTGGCTGGGCTGACCCAACATGTGTTGAAAGAAAGTGCATTTTGTCCATTTAGTCAAACTTTATCGATTAGTTTATGCATGACTGCTCATGGCGGATATGCATTCATTCATGGTTTGTTGAGATGAACATATCCATCCATTGTTGTTGGTTTTTTTTAATCAATATGTATCATTTGCCTGAATAAAGTAAATCCCAGCTGTTTTTTTTGTGTCACACATTTTAATGTTTTTTTTACAGGTAAACCAGGGCAAAATATTCATCCTCTGGATAATTTGGCTTTAGTAACATTTAGAATATGTTCAGGCAAAGGGATTACTGACATAATAATGAAGAGGAAGTTTTTTTATTTTGTACGATTATCGATATTGTGAGATGGCATGTGAGTGTTCTGGTGTTGCACAGTTTGTCGGCTGCATCTTTCTGGTGGATAAACTTTCCACGTTGATGAGGACTGTGTAACTGCAGCATTAAAAAACAAAATGTCAAAAAGCATCCTGGGCAACATTGCCTTCTGATATTGCCTGTTGGATGAGTTGCGAGTAGATTTTGTGACATGGTCATTTAGCTTTGACATGTTTGGCAACGCAGAATCTGTTCTCATGTTCACAGGATTATCGGCTGACATCTGAAGAAGACATTGAAGACATTAAATACCAGGATGTTGGATGAGTTTCCCTCATCAAAATCCAACAATATCCTTTTTCCTCCAATTTGTTGTCAGACAAAACTTGCAAAACCACATGTCCATTGAAAGCATTGTTTGCCGTTATTGTTCATCAGTGACATCACTTGATGTTTGGTTGTTCTCTGCGAGGGGAAACGTCAGACGCCGACCTTTCAGTCTTATTTTTCATGTATACAGACAATTCAGAGAACGGACGGTCAAAGAAAAACTTCTCAAAGACAAATTTATTTGTAGAATTGTAGAATTAATGCAATTAATTGCATTAATTAAGGCCTTGTTCCGTTTAGGTGGCCCAGGGCCGTGGTAGTGTGAATGCTGGCTCACTGAAATGTTGTGACACGCTCAATCGAATGGAACCATAATTGATTTTTTTATCAATTACACCTGTGTTTACCCTGCTGTGTGACATCTCAAAAGTGCTTTCAATGTACTCATGGGCATGTGAGTTCTGTTTAAAGCGTACATGTGAACCCTCCCTTTGATTGTAACCACCACTGGATGGCACTGAAGCCCAGGCGTTGACTTCAAAGCGACCCTTCGTAACGATATAAATTGATTAAGCGTTTACCTGAAGTGTGAGTCAGGCATTACTTCACTGCCAGCTGAAGCGTTTCTCGCCCCGCAGCCACGAGGAAGTGAGACGGATGCGGCCACGGGATGACGCACGGCTCTGTGTTCCAAACGAGACGACTTGGAGGCACGTGGAAATCCCCCCTCTGTGGTTCTCTTGAATTCCAGTCCAGGGTTTGACTGAACCACCCTGGAGGTATTGACACACACACACACACACACACATATATGTATAAAGATTGGTGGGCCTAGTTGCTCTGTGTACCTCCAGTGGAGAGAAAATAGTTGTGACGCTTGCAGAGTCTAGTTCCTGTCGTGCAAATAAAACTGCATGGTCACAAAAGCCACATGACAATACAGGTTTCTTCTGTAATTTGGGTGTTTCTACCCTTTAATGGTGCTCCTTATTCTGTTAGTGCCTCACTGTACCAGTAAAACCACACAGGGACATGGCAGGTGTGCGGTGCATGTGAGACTGCAGGTGTTACTACCCCTGTGTGTGGCAGCCAAAAACAACATTAGGCCATTAGGGAAATGTCGCCCTTTTCCCTAATCCAGCAGTCACACGATGTGGGACAGTCATGACCTCTGAAGGCGATCTCTTCATCCTGTGTGTGTGTGTGTGTGTGTGTGTGTGTGTGTGTCTGTTTGTTTTTCTGTAAGGATAACGTGTGTTTTGTTTGTGCCCCCTATGAAGAGTATAAAACCACCTTGTTCAACTATCTGCCTTATTATCAGCCTGGAGTGTGTGTGTGTGTGTGTGTGTGGGGGAGGGGGGGGGGGGGATTCTTTCATCCGTAGTGAATCATCTCGATTGTTTTGGGGCATTTCAGCACAAACTACAGATATTGTGCGTGTGATTTTTCTTGACATTAAATTATGAAAACTTCCGGGGATGCTGTGGTCATCACAACTTTAAAGGTGCAATGTGTGCAATCTAACCAGAATTTAATTTCAAAAACATTTAAAGAAATATCATCAACATACTGTGAAGAGTTGAGCATGCTAACCAGCTAGCCCCGGCCCATCCTGACCCGTAACACCACTTGTACCTCGAGAGGCGATAGTGAGTCACTGAAGAAGAAGTGGAGCTGCCTCGAGGGCTTGTCAATAAGTGCTTTGATAAGTTTGTTTGTTGGATCGAGTCAGGGGTGCGTAGGCGAGGCGACTCCGTGAGACGGTCATTTGGTTGACTTGAATTGGGCCCAACCCAAACCCCAGCTTCATCCCAGCCCGCTCCAACCCAACCGTCGGATCGGCACACTTTCTGTTGCTGCCGTTACAGGTTAGATCTAGTGGCGTCAGCCCGCTCGCGCTCGCTGACTTCAACTTCTGGCGACGGGGAGGACGGGGGATGCGGGTCGTTTTGTTGTTTCTGCCACTTTGGATTTAATCCAATAAACAAACTACCTGTACAGCCCTCTGTTAGTGGCACAGACACATATGGCTAACGTAAAGTATAGGCTGATGCCACATGTGCAGATTATAATATAGCAGTGTTAGTTTGACTGGATCGAAGAGTTTCAGCAGTTTGGGCAAATTTAGTGTATCCTTGCATTGCTGTTAGCTAGAGTACATGTTGTTTTTGTACATTCAAACCTTTTCACTCTTCTTAAAACACTTTATAAAGTTGATGTTGCACAAGTGACTGAGAAAAGATGCTCATCTGAAGTGGAGTTAAGAGTATTTTTAAACTCCATCCCTCTTCATCACTAGACTTTTTCTCTTCCTACCCATACCAGCTAAACTTTGTTTGCACCCTGTTTTACACAATCTATTTCTCCAGACTTACACCTTTCCTCTATTTCCAGTCTCCTCTGTGTGCTGCTTGTAGTTGATTGATGATTTAATTCCTGAAAGCAACACCGTGTTACAGCCTTCACCTGGATTTACCTGGTCAATGAGCCGTGACAGAATTCTTTGCAAAACACTGAAAATATGCAAATGTACATGCTGCAAATATGTTCTATCTACCAGGCTATATTTACATGCATTTGTACTGTAGCCCAGAACGGACATACCAGATACTCTAGATACGAACATGCATATTTTCACATCTTCCACATTCTCCTCCTCCATTTTCACACAGAAGAAGTTTCAGTTGGTTGCAATCTGAAACTTCACCACTACATGCCACCAAATCCCACACACATTAAAACATTAAAACTGTGTTTCTATGACACTTTTTAACCATGGACTATGTATATTTATATAGTTTTGGAAGGAAATGTCAATATTAACACCAGAATGAATGTGTTTCATCACCATTCAGTCGTACAATTTAGTTTACAGCTATAAAAAAAAAACACATTTAAGTGTGCCCTCTAAGTTTGTATCCAGATCAAAGGTCATTGGGGTGAAGTCATTTATGAATACAATAATAATAATAATCTTAGAAATCTGTTCACATGGGCCTAAAGAAACAAATTCAGTTTGATGTCAACACTTCATCGCCTCCTTTTGTTAGTACGGCTTGTAGCAACTAGTATTAATTAAGCTACAAATTTCTATTTGATACAATCACTTGTGTTGCTGCCAAGAGTATTACTCCACACGCTTCTCTCCAGACGTCTTGGAAGTGTCAGTACATCTTTCTGAGAGACCGGGCACTCTTTTCCATGTATCTGAGGCACAGATTATGCAACCTCACCCTACACTGTTCTTTAAACTGCCTTCGGGGAGTGCTAACACCACTGTCAGACTGACTCTATCGCTCCACTCACAACGCCTCAGCCTGCATTTTTACTGCTCCAGTTTTGATAGCTAAAAGCAGTGGTGGATGGCAACTAAACCTAACTATTGCTATTTTAAAGTAATGCCACCTTATATATGTATTTAAGTGTGAGCTCTCTTGGTTCTGGGTTGTTTCACTACACTAGAAGTTCTGCAAAACTTCAGCAAAAATCATGTATCAGTCAATTTGTCTTTCTAGGTTTTACCTGCAGGACGTCTAATTGAGGACGATATTTTCATTCTCATCTCTGCTGGAAAGAAATGTAAGGTCATGTCTCTGCAGGCATGTACATTTCCACCCTCTTTTTTTCTTCTTCTTCTTAGGACCCACAGGGATATGTGATTTTAAACACATCTGTGCGTCTACTTTTGAAAGAAAAAAAACTCATGTTATGACAACAGGTGTTAACATGTGTTAATACTATATAATAATTCTGTGGTTAAGACATGTGGTCAGTTCTGTAACTGGTCATAAGCGTTATCAAGACAAAGTTGGGAAGCAGCTCAGTGTTTTTCCTCTAGAATGGGACATGCAGATGTGTTGGAAAAGAAGCATTCTTTTTAAAGCTGCGCTGTCAGATCTGCACTTTGGCGGCTCCAAGTGGCAATGAAAGATAACTTGGATGTTTGAACTTAATTACCCTTTATCGGCCATGTAGTGTGACGTTATTGGGCAGGTGGACAGAGTATTTTTAAATTTTTTTAGATTGTGACTCGCCTGTTTGTGTCCTCAAACAAGCCAGCTGATTTTCTTTAAATATGCAACGAAACTCTGTCTGCGTTAAAGCGATCAAATTGTTTTCTCTGCATGCACAGTTTGTGATTTAGACTGATAAA